AGTAAATACACATAGGAAAATCTCGAGAATTCATCAATGAAGATGATGAAATATTTCTGACCGGGTATTGTAATATCAGGACAACATATATCAGTATGAATAATTTCCAACAACGTTGAACTTATATTGGCACCTTTCTTTGACTTGTTTGTCTACTTACCCTTAATGCTGTCAATGCAAGTTTCAAAGTCAGTATAGTCTAGAGTAGAAAGTACTACATCCTTTACCAACCTTTTAATATCAACTCCTTAGACAGAGTAGCGTCACAAGAGGACTAGTAGCAACAAGGCTTTTAAGTCAGGGCCATAGAACTAGTATTCCTCCCCAAGAAACTTCCCTAATTCATGTGTTCTCATATTTGAAGTAAAATTGTTCTCATATTTAAAGTAAAATTCTTTGAGAGATCTATAAGATGGTAGATTCACCTATGGATATGCTTTGAATAGGGTAAACTATGAATATATTTATGTACTTTATGTGCTTTAAGATCTTTAAAAGAGCACGAGTGGAGTAATAACTGAAGAGTAAGAATATGCGTAATTTAACCTTAAATGCACTAAATTCACCTAAAAAGCAATAAATCATGTATAATAGGCATTCAATTTAGATTCCTAAAAGAAAAAATGCTTTACTAAAGGCATAATTATAACAGTCAAATAATTATTGCAATAAAGAGATATATATAGCGTGCTCAGATTATGCATATTACTAACTAATACTCCATAATTAAATTGCAATACTTAGGGTGTGTTTGGTTCGCACATGGGAATCGAAATTGGAATGGGTATCAAATACTTGGTAATGATAATGGGTTTTAGTGAAAGTATTTTGCATGTTTGGTAGTACGGTGGAATGAGAATGATTATCAATAATGTTGTTTGGTTATGTATGATCCTATAATGATAATAAAGATTTTAAAAATACAAGAACACAAAATCAAGACAAGTAATTCTAATATAAAGACATCCAAAATACCAATATGAACAAAAAAATAAAAACATAAATCTAAAAGCACTAATCAAAGAGGATGAGAAGGAATAAGGGAATGAAAGGGGATGATACCCTTATTTTATTTAGATATGGGGTTTTCAATTAAGAAGGTATTTGAAACCCATAGTAGTGTTCTAAAAACCTATCAACCAAACAATACCAATCACTTTGATACCCATTCATTAGAGCTAAACCTGTCAACCAAACACACCTTTAAACAATTTAATCTGAAAAATATTATTAAATTAAAAATTCAACTAAAAATTTAAAACTGTATAATTATTCAAAGTTGAATAATAATTTAGTAATACACTTAACTAAATTCAATTGAAAAATTAGATTAGGAGAAGTCCAAATAAAATGAAGATATTAAACTGAATTGGCCCAAAACCAAAATAAGCCCATATTATTTTTTTGTTTTGTTTTTAAAGAGGCCCGGTTTGGCCAAATTGGGCCAAACCTAGCCCAAGATCTCAAGCTTTCATCATCTTCTTCATTATGCAATAGACCTAGCAGCAGCCTTAAATCGTGGACCGTGGTGCATAATTAATTATGCTATGCACCACGCATCAAAATGACGCCGTTTCTTTATGTAAAGAAACGACGCACTGTTAGTGTTAACGGAGTGACACTACAGTGTATCTAAACCGACACTGCCTCACATATTATTTTTATATTATCAAATGAAACTGCAGTTATATCAAAATGATATTGTAGTTGTGGTGAAATGAAACTTCAGTATATATAAAATGAAACTGAATAACATTTCACATATTTGAGTATATATTGTACAATGAAGTTGTAATTATATCGAAATGATCATGTAGTTGTGTTTTAATGAAACTATAGTGTATATAAATTAAAACTAAATAACATTTTCACATATTTGAGTGTATAAATATTGAATGAAACTGTAGTTATATTGAAATGAAACTGCAATGTATACAAAATGAAACTGAGAACAGAGTTATTTTTTGCGGAACGGCGCGAAATGGATTCCATTTCTTTTCATTAAATAAAACGACGTCGTTTTAATGCGCGGTGCACGATGTAATTTGCCTAGCAGCGCAACAGAGCAATGGTGGATGACAAACAGCAAAGAACGGTCGTTGGTGTCGGAGGGGAGATAGCACTAGTGTTGCCGGAAAAAAACTAACTCTATCGCCGCAGCCTAGCCTCGACACGACGCTAACGTTGCCGTCCTCTGCCCGCAATTAGCCGCGTCGCGGAACCAGTCCAGTCGAAGTTCTTTTGCGTCACCGTCTGTCCGTCTCCATCACCGGAATTCCATTGTTGATGGCAACTGAAGGGAGAACGGCGGAAGAAGAGATGTTTTTTTTGTTTGAAAAAAGAAACCGCTGTCTCCTCCAACAACACAGGCTGCCGATGAGCAAATGGAGACCGGAGATCGGAACGTGACCGGCAAAGTAGTAGCAAAAAAAACAAATATCCAATTGATTTTTTTTTTGTTTCTTAATGCGGAAAAATATTTTCAACAGCCCAGAAAAATAATTGCAAACAAAAGAATATTCACATATGTAATCTCAATTATACAACATATGCAAATTAAAAGAACCAGGTAGAGATTATTTATGGTTCTGATACCAATTGTTAGAATAATTATATCACATTTAATCTATACTATTTGATAATAGTATCGTACTAACCTCCAGTCGTAGCTCTGTTTTGATGACGGTTGAATGATTTGGACTGCTGCAGAGATTACATGAGTATTTGTCTCTCACTTCTACTCAGCTCTCTCTAAATGATGCATGAGGATTGAGGAATATAATGTGAGAAGTGAGAGAACTGGTGACTTTATATAACCACTGGCCATCATTGCGGTTGTTGTACATCATTAGGTCTCTTAAACCATAATCAGACTCCTAATCATAAAGCAAGTCAAGCTACTAGGTTATTAGTGTTGCACAACATATCAAACACTTAATATTATCATAACTTATCCTAATTTTATAATTTTATAATAACAATAATAGGAAAACGTTACATGTCTTCAAAGTGTCTGTTAAGGATGAACATCTTAAGAATCCTGTCAAACCAATTCCAGTTTTGAAGATAACTAATGAAGATGAGTTAGTTACAGTGTATTGTCCATCATTGACTGATGACCATGATCAGTTTTCCAAAATGAGTGGTGAAGAAGAACAAGATCAAGACTCTAATGTACATACCTAATCTATAAACTTAGTAGGTTTTTAAATGCATGTTCTAAAAAACTTTTTTATTTTAAAACATGGAAGCAAATATGGAAATGAAGCTAGCAGCCCAGCTTTGGAACAAAGTCTCAAAGCCATATTGAATGACAGCCCTGAACAAGTTGAACCAAGAGCGATCAAAATATGTCTCCTTGACCATTTTTCATCCAGCTAAGATGTCAAGATATCTAAGGCTGTTTTAATCAAACAGGAAAAAATTAACTTTTTCAAAAATTGGTTCAGTTCTTGGGTTGTTCATGGACAATCTGCACTTGGTAGTGCTTCATGTTTTCTGTATGTGCAATCTGTGTGACAATATGCACTTGGTAGTGTAGTAATTATATTTTGGGTTGTTCTATTTTTTTTTCTTTGATGGTCAAATTACTTGGATGTTCTAATAAGTTATGTATTTTGTTCAACATGTCATATTTCTATTTTTGTTCTTATATCTTATATTTTGTTTATGTTTTTTCCATATTCTGTTGTTTTGTTATCTTTTATTTTTTAATGCAGGTGTTTTATTGACAACTCTCTTCATGCCATATTAAAGCGATTACATCCTGCACATCTTACATGGAAGTTACTCCGTATTATTTTTTCAGTAGTTTCAATTTGTAATTTTTTTCCTTGCATACTTTTAAGTGTAAATTCTTTTCTGTAATCTTTATTATAGTGGAAATGTAAGTATGCATTCATTTTACTCAGATTTGTCTTTTACACATTATTGCACAACGTAGTTTAAATTTTTGTTTGAAACAAATTTTTCATAATTATTTATGGTATTTAAGTACTTATGATAAATAAATATGATTATTATGATATATACATATGATAAAAAAAACACATGATAGGTAAACACAAGATAAAAAAAAAAAATAAATAAATACAAATAATCAGAGACAAACATATGATAAATAAATGATGAACACAAGTTACCATAATTAAGTTACCTTTCATGAACTCCTTGAAACAAACTCAAATCTATCTTCTGCATAACTTTTCAACATGTTCATTGGAGCCTGTAAACCTTAATCGGTTGCCCTATAATTAAATGAAGAAAAAAATGTAAGGTTAATGTTAATGCCAAATGGAATCTTTCTAAATAATCAAGTAAATTTAATATTACCTTGATTCTCCAATAGAGAATAAATATGCTTACAACCAGTTCCTGGAATAATATTATCAAACTGGAGTACATCTTAAGCACACTACTATTTTACTCTATATAATAGCAAAAACTTTTTTGCCACATTTGTTTCCCGCCTAAATAATACTACATCGTTTTTGTTGTATTTAATTATTTGAATGAAGCCATCTGATGACTCTTCATGGGACTTTTCATGAGTATAATAATTGTTTTCACATTTATATTTACAGGGCGTTTGGTTGGAGGGGGGAATTATGTGGGAAAGGAATTGTAATTCCATGGGAGTTGAATTACTGGGAATAAAGTGAGAATTTAAATTCCAGTGTTTGGTTGACAGGAACAGAATTATTGGGAATTTCAATTCCAATGTTTGGTATACATGGGAATTGAAAGGGAATAAGTAGTATAAAGTAAAAAATGTCCATTATTGTTGATAGACATTAATTTTAGGTTAAAAAAGGAAGGGGTAATTTTGACTCATCACTATCTTTTTTTCCCAGGAATTAAAATCCTAGGGAGACATGGGATTTTAATTCAATGAAAATGGGGAAATTGCAATTCCCTCCAACCAAACTATGGAATTTAATGGCCTTTGGAATTAGGTGGAAATTAAGTGGGAAGGGAATTTAAAATCCCTCCAACCAAACGCCCTGTTATAGTTTTTGAAATCCGCACAGCCGCAGAAATTGATTACCATTCCATGTGTTATCATTCTCAAGAAAAAACATTAATATCATTATTTTGAAATATTACTTTAGATCATATTTCAAAAAAAAAAAAAAAAAAAAAAAAACCTTTCCATTGCATTTCCTGATGAATACCCATAGACTCACGAGTTAATTACTGCTAACTCTTCAATCTCCGATGTAATTAATAACGAGCATTTAATTATCTAAAGAAATACAGTTTTAAAAATGTATTATAAATAGTGGTGTTATCCAACATTGTATACCACAAACGAAAGGCTTTCAAATTTACTCTGTGAAATCTACTGAAAAAATTCCCTCACAATACATTTTTGCCTCTCAAGTTGTCCTCTCCACACGAGGAGAGCAATAAGGGTCAGGTTTGTCCGAACTTACGAAATCCCTGAACTAAGAGAAGGACACTAAGGGTCTGACGTCCTGGTTCTTTTTTATGTCGTCCACTAAGGGTCTGACGTCCATTATCGGAGATGATTTGCATGGGGACTCCAAAGCGGTGTAGGATGTTCTTTCGTACGAAATCCTTAAATCGGGTGCTTGTGATGGTGGCAAGAGGTTCGGCTTCGACCCACTTTGTAAAATAGTCTGTGGCGACTATTATGTACTTTCTCATCCCAGACCCCATGGGTAAGGCCCCGACTATGTCGATCCCCCACCTTGAGAATAGGATCACCGTGCTGATGGGTGTGTAGCTGGTGGCTGGCCAACCCGGTTCGGCATGAAAGTGCTGGTAGGTCGGGCAGTCCCGGGCGTAATCCGCGCTCTCCTTGGCCATTTTTGGCCAAAAATACCCTTGTAGTAGGGCCCTCCTCGCCATGGTAAAGGTTCCTTGGTGTGCTGCGCATGTGCCCTCATGTATCTCCTCCTTGGCGGACTTAGCTTCGTCTGGGTATAAAAACCGGAGGAGGGCGCCGTTATAGGACCTTTTGTAGAGGGGTCGCCAAGGAGGATGTAAGTTGGCGACCTCCTCTTGATCGCCTTGGCTGCCTCCTCGTCTGCTGGTAGGGTGCCCGTCTTCTTGTACTCCACCAGGTGGTCTAACCAGCACGAGGGGCGGGTTTGTATGGGGAGGACTGGGAAGGCCTCCAAGCTGGACCTTTGGAGGTTTTCGATCCGTGCTATCTTGGAGACGTGTTCCGGCGCACCGAGGCCGAGCTTGGAGAGCAAATCCGTGTCCCTGTTTTGATTTCTGGGTACCTCGGTTAGGTCGGCTATGTGGAGGTCGGCCTCGGTGCTCTTCACGATCATGTCGTCAACGTATGCTTGCAAGTTCCGGCCGAGCACCATCTTGAAGACCGTTGCGACCATCCTTGTGTATGTGGCACCCGAGGTTTTGAGCTCGAAGGCCATGACCCGATAACAGAAGACTCCCTCCGGGGTTGTGAATGCTGTCTTCTCCTCGTCGTCTTCGTGGATGAAAATTTGGTGGTACCCCTGGAAGGCGTCTAGGAAGCTCATGAGCGCGCACCCCGCCGTTTCATCTACCAGCTAGTCGATGTTGGGCAGCGGGAAGGGGTTCATCGGGCACGCCTTGTTGAGGTCTGTGTAGTCCATACACATTCTCCAAGTGGGTGGTTTGGGTGTGAGGACCACATTGGCGAGCCACTCCGAGTACAGGACCTCCCTTATGTGTCTGATCTCGAGGAGGGTGTCGACCTCCTTCCTCACGAACTCCAGCTTTTCCGTGACGAGGTATCGTTTTCGTTGCTGAATCGGCTTGGCTTTGGGGTCTACCGTCAATTTGTGCGTGATGACCTCTCGGCTGAGGCCCGGCATGTCCTCGGGACCCCATGCCCGGTATTGGCCTAGGTATCCCCATTGGATGAACTCTTCGATCTGCCTCTTGAAGACCATACACTCGTTCGTGTCATGCCCACGCTGCCGATGGAAGCGACAGTACTTCTTCGGGTCAGCCTTGGGGGAGATCTTTAAGCACTCATCGGGGAACGAGACGATGCCCATGTCCTCCGCGTGGTCCAAAATAACACTTATGGGCTGGGTTAGCGGGGTTAGGTGTCGCAGTGGGGCTAGACGGGAACCCCGATCACGACGTGATCACGATGAGTGGCGGTCCTCTTGAGGTTAAGATGCCTTGTCGTTCCGACCCGGCCTTCCTCCTCCTTCTTCCTCTTTTCTGCCGCCTCGGCATTGGCATACCGTGTGGCGTGGTCCATCAACTCCGTGTACGTCTTTGGCTCGTTCCAGACGAGGTCGCTGTGGAAAAGACCAGATCTGAGGTTGTTGGTGAAAAATGGAATGGCGGACTTTTCGTCGAAATTGGTCACCCCCATGGCCCCCTTCTTCCATTTGCTCAGGTATTCCGCCAAGGTCTCCGACCTGTGTTGCTTCATGTAGCACAGATCAGTGAACTGTTTCCTTCGGTGTATGCTGGCCGCGAAGTGTGACATAAAATTCTTGGCTAGGGCGGCAAAAGTGGGCATGGACTCCGCCGGAAAGGACCCGAACCAGTCTTGGGCTTGACCGTCTAGAGTTGTGCAGAAACCGCGACACATGATTGCATCATTGACACCTGTCATCATCATGACCGCCTTGTACCTGTTGAGATGATCCTAAGGGTCTGTCGACCCCGTGTAGAGTTTGATGGTCGGGAATCGGAAGTCTCGAGACAAGGGCTCGGCTATGATGTCCTCCGTGAAAGGTTTGGCTAGGGCATCTCGAAGCTCCGCTGATTCGTCGCGCGCCTCGATCTTGCGCTGCAACTCACGCATCTGCTTGCGTAGTTGATCCATCTCGTCACGCTGGGAGCTTGGAAGTCGGCCCCTAGTCGCCCCCGAGTGCTCCAGTGGTGGGTTCGGCTCCCGTGGCATCGGAGCACGAGGTTCAGGGCTCTGGGACATTCGCGAACACGATGACTCCGCTAGTCGAACGTTTGCGGCCGGCCTTGACCCTAGGCGGTCTCGCGCCGGCACCTGTGAGCCCAACCACCTGAGCATAGATGTGGTCCGGGTCAGCCGAGTCCTCCTCTCCTCCCGTTGCTCGTGCTGGCCTTTACTGGTCTCCGCTTCGCCTCGCCTCTCCGACGGTTGCAGCGAGTTGACTTCTCTAACTGTCAGCGCCCCGGGTGCTCGGACCACCGCGTCCCATTGGAAGGGGCAGAGGTGGATGTCCCGGGGCACCCCATCGGAGCCCCTCCGCGACGCGGTTCAACGCGGTCGCCGCCTGCTAGAGTGCGGTCGCCTCCTCTTCGGGGGTCGGAATCGGGGGCGGAACGGGCGGCGCGAGGCGGTTGTTGTTGAGCCGACCCCGTAGGTCCTCCGCCATCCCTCGCCGGTTCCCGTTGATCTGATCTCTGAGGTCCCCTCCCGTCCCCACGGGCACGGTCTGCCGACTTGCCGTTGTCCCGTTAGGGTGGTTAGCGAGGGAGAGGTCGCGAGTGTTGCGTGAATCATGTGAATTGCGGGTGTTCGACCCGGATCTTGTCATCTCTATGGATGAGTGATAGTAGGGAGAGCGCTTAAGCTTGTACAGCCGCTCTCGACAAGAGCACCAATGATGGAATTAATTAAATCGGGGATCCGGATTAATTAACCCGAATGAATGAATAAATGTAATAAGTATATGATTAAAACGGTAATAGGGGTATAAATATCGGTACGGATATAGTCACGAGGACTGATATTGTATTAATTGAACATGTAACGTTATTACAAAGGTATGAACGTGTAATAACAAGACAAGTAAGTGTTTAGTACACCAGATACCTTGATTAGGACATTAAGGAGGGATTTTATAGCCTATGTTGCAATAACAACCCCGAAGAAACTGTTGGAGATACCCCCAACCGCATTGGCTCGCAACAAACACCGCACGACTCGGACAACGAGGAGACCCCGTCGACCCCAAAGGGTGGCGGTCCCCGCGTAGGCCGACCCCGGGTGTGATGGCCGACCCCGTGGTGGCTGGGCCTACGTGAGCCAACCCTGATTGCCGAGCCCATGTTGGCCAACCCTGGGGCGGTAAGCTGCCCCGGGGGTGGTTAGCCGACCCCGGGGTGGTTCGTCACTCCGTGTGCGTAGTAGCGGGGGACCCCGTGGTAGTAGCCGAGGACCTCGTTGTGACAACCCAAAATTTATTTTATAAATCCGGTTTTAAGAAAATCCAAATTAGCCAATTTTCACTCTATAAAAATTTGTACGAAGAAAACGGTGTTGAATAAAATTATTTTGAGCCATTTTAAATTTGATTCGACACCGAGAAGGGATTTAATTTCTAGTATCCTAAATTTCAGGGTACATTACGTGTCAAGTTTTGAACTGAGAAATCTATCTGAGTGAAACCGACAGAATTCTGATAAGCTTACCAAGTGTTCATCTAGAAGTCATTTTGGGACAATTCCATTTTCAACCCCAAACTATTTTAAATAGCCAATCTAGCCTTAGTTCATGGAGCATGGTGGACCACACTACTCCACCAATCATAGGAGATCATCCTAGGGTTTTGTGTTCCTATATATTGAGCATTGAGTTAATACCATCGGAAGTCCTCCGAGTATAGTGGTTTTGCCACGTTTAGTCCTAAACTTTCAAATTGACAATCTGTGGTCCTTCGACTTTTAAATTTAACCATTTGTGGTCCAAGTTAACTGCTCATGGTCCTTCAAGTTTCGAACTTTAACCAGTTGGGGTCTTCTTGAAAGGACCATGGTTGGTTAAAATTTAATAGTTGAAGGACCATGGGTGGTTAACTTGGACCACGAATGGTTACATTTGAAAGTCGAAGGACCACAAATGGTCAATTTGAAAGTTTAGGACTAAACGTGTCAAAACCACTATACTCGGAGGACCTAGAATGGTATTAACTCATTGAGCATTTATCAAACTTAGCCTCTTTGTTTTCCACCATTGAGCTCCCTCCCCTGCAAGAACACCAAGAAATCACAGAGGTGAAGGAGGTTGTAGCTAGCTAATGAAGAAGGTGGAAACCAAGCTAGAAGAAGAGGAAGCTACAAAGGTATAACCCATGGACTCCCAAAGCTATTTTCAAGACTCTGTGAAGTCTTTTGATGAGTATAAATGAGTAGAAATGCTAGATTTTTGAAGTATTTGAGCTAATAAGTGATTTATTATTTGTCTATGATGTGTTGTTGATGATTTGGGATGAGTTAGAAATGCCTGAGTTATTTTGCAGATGAGAAGAAGGCATCTGGTGCACAGACAGTGTGCACCAGTAGGCCTAACAGCTCCAGCCAACGGCCCACCAAGGGGACCGTTGGCTAGGACCTTGGCCAACCGGGCCTAGGGAATGGCCCTAGAAAAGGGTCGTTGCCTAGAGCCGACTTTTTGGCGGTCTGAGGGGCGGGCCTAGTTGAGCCCCGCCCCAAGCTCCGTTGAGAGGCTCCTGTGCAGTGGCCGGGCCCTTGTGGCTCGGTACCTCAGGGCCATCTTGAAGCACGTTTTGGCTTTGATTTTGTTGATTTTGGAGAAGATTTGAGCCTTTTATGCTAGTTTTTGTAGAAATAATTGTTGCAGAAGTTTGGTTGGAGAAGTTCTCTGTGAATGAGATTAAGTGTATCAGCCTTGAGTATTTTAATTTCTAAGCATGTTAATGTTTGTTTGATACATAGAGAAGCATGATCTTTAATAGTTGAGTTTAGTTAGCAAAGCATGTCTAAAACGTATACCATAAATTACTCAGATTATGGCCAAGTTGTTAGTTGATGTAATGAGCAAAGTTTGCCTATCTTGAAAGTATCTTACAGTAAATGAGTTCTTTGAGCATTTTGAGTTCCAATAACATATTAACTACTTGCTAAGTGTTTATTGAGAAGATTTTTTAAGTTATGAATTCAAGCATGAATTATTGGATTGTTTGAGTTTCACAGTGAGTAGAAGTTAGAAGCATATTTTACAGTAAATGGCTTTTTTGAGCATATCATGTTTTAAAAGTGCATAAGTGGCCAATGTGAGCCTAAATATTATTTTCCTAAAAACTCATATCCATTTTTGGAGAGTCTTTATCTTATCATTTGAGAATGAGTTGAGAAGTTATTTTCTTATTTGCATAAGAAAAATGTTGCATAATTGAGATGCATGAGTGATATTTATATATATCTATTGTGAGGAAAACCTTGTTTTGGAGGACCCATTGGTACTATGTCCTTTCGGAGTAAAAGAGAAAGCAACGGACATTGCGATCCGATATCATGTAACGCGGCGTATTCCCACGTTACGAGGTTGGAAACTGCCCGCCAGGCTTGGAATCCTGGTCAGGGGGTGTGCACACTGATAGTTCGATACCTGATTCCACAGAGTATGAATATTGGAACCACTAGATTGGTTCTGTAGGCGGGATGAGAGATTGGCCGGCTAGACGCCGTGCCCAATGGGTTTATTCACATTATGGTGAAGCCCGGCCTCGCCCACGAGTAAAGAGAAAGCGAGTCATGAGACTCGAGAGAAAGAAATCGAGTCATTGAGACTCAAAGAAACCGAGTCAAGAGACTCAAGAGAATGAAAGCGAGTCATTGAGACTCAAAGAAAAGAAAGCAAAGCAAGTCATTTATGACAACAAGAAACCTCCACAGAAAAAGTATTCTTTTGAAAGAGTGTGTATGTATATCTATACTTACTATAGCCCATCTTATAAGTTATATATCTTGCACTAGATTGCATGAGTAATAGCATGAGATTGCTTATATATATATATATATATATATATATATATATATATATCTTGCACTAGATTGCATTAGTAGTAGCATGAGATATGTCTTTTACTAGATTGCATGAGTAGTAGTATGAGTTTGTTGATGAGATATGTCTTGCACAAGATTGCATGAGTAATATATGATAGTATGAGTTTGCTTATGAGATATGTCTTGCACTAGATTGCATGAGTAGTAGTATGAGTTTGTTGATGAGATATGTCTTGCACAAGATTGCATGAGTAGTAAAGGATAGTATGAGTTGCTTATGAGTTATACGCCTTGCACTAGATTGCATGATTGATAGTATGAGCTTGTTTGTGAGTTATATGTCTTGCAAGTGAATGCATGATAAGTATATGATAGCATAAGAATGCTTATTTGAGTTATATGAGAAAGCATGAGATACTTGAATATTTGAGAAACTTTAGACTAATCATAAGATGAGAATGTGATGAGTTGTTTAAGGGATAAGTATGCTTATATGAGTATTAGGTTGCAAGCATCTAGAAGTTAATGCCAAGTATGTTTAAGTGTATAGACTAGTTTGAGCAAAGAATGTGGAACTTTTGTTTTCCAAAGTATATACTGTACTTACTCTACAGGGTTGAGTGGCGTTATACTTAGCTTCGTGCTAACGGGTTTTTTTGTTATTTGTTGTTTGTAAACCCCTTTCAGGTGGGCCCAGTTCATAGAATCGAGAGCACGAGTTAGACTAGTTTAGCTAGATAGCTTGTAGTCTAGACTCTCTTTTGTCTTATGGTTGTAGTAGACTATCCCTTTTGTTGGTGCTGGACACCGGGGTTTCATTCCCCTAGATTATCGGTTGTTCGTTTGACTTTAATGTTCTTAGTTTTTACCCTTAGCCTGTGCAATCAC